AGCGCCCCAAGGCGATCATGCCGTACGTCCCTGGCTTCGAGGAGGACGGCTTCCTACGCAGTCTCGCGCCCCTCGAGCCCAAGGAGATCGAGCTCAAGGCCGACAACTGCACCAAGGTAAGCAGCGAGTGTGGCAGCCGGTGGCGGGGAGGGTTGTTGGGAACGTATTACACATGTGGTGCCTTCTCTTAGCCACAAAAAAACACTCGAAACGGATTGTACAGGTGGCTGACTCGCGCCGACCACTTTCGGAGTTATACCGTGCCGTATGCACGGGTGCGGGCAGGATCCTTCGCGGCTCCTCATGGCCCCGTGCGAGTAGGCAACCCGCCCGCGTGCATGCAGTGCAGTATAACTACGAAAGCGCGCGTCGTGAGTCAGCCACCTGGTACAGGTGGCCCCATCGGCGCCGTTCTCTCATCTGGTGCCGGACGCAGGCGGGCTTGCCTATCGTCGCTCACCAAGGCACATGACGGCCCCGAGCGAGTTACGCAACACATCCGCGCACGCCTGCATGCGGGACCGACTCACCGGAAGAAAGGCGCCTATAATGGGCCCTCTTCCTCCCCTTTGCGCTGTGCGTCTGCGTGCCAGCCAGGCGGCGGCTGATTCACCCACGTCCACTTGTCGCCACCAACCACCATGCGGGTGAATCAGCGGCCACCTCGAGCTCGACCTGCGTACTGATGTGAGCTTTCTGCCCCGCAGGTGCTGGTGTGGCACACCCAGGCCAAGGCCAACGCGCCGTCGCCACCCCTTGACATGGTCAAGTACAACCAGACGAACCTCGCCGTGCTCAAGACCATCATCGTCTGATCGCCCCCCCCCCCTCTCCCTTCTCCTTCTCCCCTCCTCATCTGCTCCTCGCGCCATCCTAGACACTCCTTCAAGTAGACTGCCTGTAGTACCTTACAGTATCTTACAGTACCTTACACACCCTCTTCGCTCTTGCCCGACTAAAGGGTGGGGCGCCTGCATAGGGGTACAAGCCACGGAGCGCAAAAAAATGCAACGAGAGAGCAGACGTGAGGGAAGGCCCTCTTCTCCGGGGGCGCACGACTGAGACAATCAACCTTCGAGCGGTGGGGCGAGAGCCTCTGCCGTGAATAGACCATAACGTGTATCTTTCGGGATCTTTTGCTCACGTCCTGTCAGATTTTGTAAGCTGTAAACTAAACACCGAGTCATATCCTGCCTGGGTCGGGCGCCATTGCGACGGGTCACGGTCACTTGACTTACCGGACCGAGCTCGGTCAGGGAAGAGGGGCCTCTTCCCAAACCTGACTGCATATTTATGATATTGAGCACTTTTCCTGCTTTGCTTCGATGTGATATCAACGAATATCAAGCCCAAGTTTTGCTCACTGTGCTCAAGATTCTAGAGCTGGACGCGACAGCTTGAGTTTAGCTAGGCACCATTTCACTAATAGTAAAATGGAGTAGGCGAATGTTGTTGTGCCCAAGGAGAACAGGATAGTCACAGGTATTTACATCAAAATGACGTCATTTAGCCACCATTTAGTCACTATTTTGGCTTGAGGGATGTCATTAGAGACGTCATTGACATCAAAATGTCTTAAAAGTAACCAACTCGGACCAACTTGTTCTCCTTGGGTGATTATCCACGAAAACTTTTCGTAGGCCTATGTGCTTAAACGAATTGACCTTTGAAGAACAACGCACATTAACCACTTTACTATGATGAAGTAGTACTTAATCAGTAACTTTTCTGTTTAACTTTATCCATGAGAGGAATGTTGACAATGCACAATCATTTGTGATTTCTAAATTTATATAGTGATAATGATCTGTTGAATGAGATATTTTGACCATGAGGCGAATGACAAAAAAGCAGTCCTCTGACAAATGTCGTGTCTACGTCGGATAGATGTCGAAATGGTGTCGCCTAAGTAGGCGTCACGAATGTCCGTCGTCTACGTCGAAAGCTTCTCTTTTGGGGCTCCTCACTTCCGGTAATGGTCATGGTCAAAGTACCCGATTTAAAGAAGAAAGCTTCTCTGTGATGCTAGTAATATAAAATCTGTACTGTAATCTTCTTGCTCAGTCTTTCTTCTTAAAAGCAGACCTTAGGTATCACACAATAATGTAAACATATTCATGACACAACTTTTTGCGGCTGCTGAAAATTCAGCATTCCACAGGTGAATTTTCTTATCGTGCTGCCGTTCTGCCATTAACTCTTTGGTGATATTCTAATCGGAGAGTTCACAACCTGTAACTTAACTTCGAGCTTACTCTACCTTACTTCTTATTTACTCTTAAGTTTAGACTAACGAAACGAACTGATATTTATAATTAAATAACGACTTGTTTTTTCTGCAAATAAAACTGTAAACACTGTACTTTGAATCATTTATACTCCTCCCCTCCCCTCCCCCAAGGAGGAAGGCAAAGGTCTACGTGATGTCAAAATGGTCCCCAATATTGACATTAAGGGCATTTTGATATCATGTTGACTTTGCCTTCCTTCTTGGGCCCTGCTTTCCATATGAGTCCAACGTTGCCGTGCCACGCCGCCCACGCCCCAGAACAGAGCTTGAGAAAAAAGAGCAGAGCCGAAACGAATCACATCTTCAAACCTTGGTGTGTCGCGCTGACTTGGCGCGCTTTCGTCGCTAGTCTCGCGCCACCCGCACGCCTGCTGTTCACATAGCCTCGAATCAGGGTGCCATCCGGAATGAGACCAGCCATGAACTTCAAAAAACTGAGAGAGGCTGAGCAGAAAAGTGAGAACGATGCGTTCTGCCGACAACAAGTGTTAAGTTCTTCGGTTTAGAGTGCCATCCGTCACCGAGTGAAACATGCCATTTTTCACAGCTGTTTTTTTAGACTGAATGTGTGTGCCTGAGCGCTGAAGAATTCGGTCGCCGTTGAGCTCGTCGGCCCCGTTGTGTCAGTCAGCTGATGGACCCTTACACGTCTTTTAGGGACGCTCCCTTCCCATTTCCAAAACAGTACAACCACAACAGAGAAGGGACGAGTCGTGCAGAGTGTTATCAACACAACACGATAGCGCACGATTCTTTGTGCGTTCGGCTCGCATTGGCTTGACAGCTAGCCGCAATGATAACGCGCCTATTCGGTGGCAGCAGGCTTTCGTGAGCTCGCAAGCCCATCATCGGTCCTAAACATAACAGAAGGACACAATGTGGGTGAAGCCTGAAGAGGTGCTGTTGGCCACTACCTTGTGGTAAGTCCTGGTTTTATGTAACGAGTGGGTTAAGGTGACATGTTGGATTTGGAAGTTGATCACTTGAACGATTTTAACAAGTATTCATGAATTGTGAGTAATGTCCTGTCCGTATCTAGCTGGTGTTGTTTCAAAAGACCGTAACTTTCCTATTGTTTTCCTAGTAGGCTCTACTTGTCAAGGTCAGTTAGCTTAGAAAGATTCTAGTCCCATCATTATTATTGGTACCATTATCATTATTAGAAAGTTGAGGACAATTTTCAAGCCTTACCAGTATGCCAATTAAAACTGCCGATTGTCCGAAGAACACATCTTAAATTCTTACTCCATTTTCATAGATGAATGCGACTAATTTAGTGCTACACAACTTATTAGTAATTTGTAATAATTCTAATTATTTTAAAAAATTGCTTTTGTTTTATTTTTATAGGGTCACAGAAAATGCAAACAAATACTTTCTTAAGCAACGCAGAATGGGGTATGGACCATCCACAGGTCTCTCTTCAGTACTTGTTGGGACATGGGACAGCATGTTTGACTCTCGGCCACCACCATATAGAATTCTCCACAGAACCCCATCATCCGATGTGTTTCATGGTAAGGTTTCGTGTAACATTGTTCAAAAGAAAACAATGCACCTTCTAAATCTTTTTAATAAATTATCTTAAATATTCCTACTTTTTAACTTCTTCTAGTCATTGCACAAGCTTTAAGCTCTACTGACATCAAACAGAATTGGGATTGGTTGACTAAAAACTTAGTACCGTCCCTGGCACGATTTGAAAGTGATGAGGATGTTACAGAGTTTGTTTGTTGCAAAATATCTTCCCTAGTTGCCAATGATGGTCCAAGCACAAAAGACATTGATGGTATGTTCATAAATATTGATCTTGGTATGTGTTTAAAGGGACTTTTTACGCTGACATTTTATTACTTTCAGCTGAGGATCAATCATTCAAAGACACAACCCATAAATTTCAGAAGCGTTTTAATATGCCTCCTGAGGAGAAACTTGTGAACCATTATTCTTGCAGGTACTTAGTTCTTCTTCTTAACTCCCTTGTGTAATATGACTTAAAACTAACTTGCTCAAAACTAATTTGATAAACTTTCAGTTACTTCAAGGGTAAACTTCCACGTCAGGGCTGGATGTACTTATCAATAAATCACTGTTGCTTCTATTCATACATTTTGGGGCGTGAGACAACACTAGTCATACGATGGTCTGACATTAAGGATATCCGTAAAACAGCTCAGTTGCTTTTCCCAGACTCTATTTGTCTTGTGGAGCGTGATGAGAAAGAGGTGGGTGTATACTTTATGTCCTCCAGTTTAAGTAAAATGGATGATGATGACCTCTTAATATCCCCATTATCACTCTTCTAGCATTACTTTTCCATGTTCCTTCACAAACAAGAAACATTTACATTAATGCAACAGCTCATCAATTATGCTATGAAGAGGTGATTTATCTATCTTATTGCCATGTGATTTGTACTCTATAGTATTTTTCATTTATGTTGATATTTCATCTTTTTTAGGCTCATTGATGACAAAAGTGCTTTCTATGAAGACAAAGATCTTTTAACAAAATTAAGGTAGATACACATTTCTATTTGCAGAAAAAACTTAAATATTTTAACCCAGTCTAGTTACAACAAAAATTGATTCATTTACAGCAAAAATGTGCCAAAGAAGCCATCCTTCCTCAAAAGAGATTTAGATGCAAGGGCGCTGTCAGAAGCTTATCGTTTAGCATTTCATCTGCCATCTACAGAGAAACTAGATGGTAGAACTGATGCTACCATTTGGACTCCATATAACAAAAAGCATGTTTGGGGAAAAATGTTTTTCTCTCAAAATTATTTGTGCTTTGAAAGCAAAGTATGGTTACAATCAAGTACCAAAATGAGATTTCTTTCATTCCACACCTTAATTTTCTATTTAAAAAATTGCACCTGTGTTTTCCTATCAGGTAAAAGGGGCCGTTAGTGTGGTAATCCCACTACGAGATGTCAACTCTGTGGAAAAACCGGATGGATCTAGTAGTAATATGGCTAAAGCTGTGTTATTCACTCTAAAAGGAGATGTTACTTTTCTCTTTGCCCAACTTCATGACAGAAACTTTGTTGTCCAAAAAATTTCAGAACTTCTTGCGAAACTTGAGGCTGCAAGAGTGTAAGTAATTCCAAATTTTCAAATTTCAATACAGATTTTTGTTTTTGTCAGATTATGGATTTTCCAACACTTCATTACATTTCATTTTACCAGGCAACCTGATCAGAAAGCAGATAGAACTAATATCCATGAGTGTGAGCATGATAGCAAAAGTAAGTATTCATTTTTAGTTGGCTGTTACTGTTGTTGTGTCAATTTTTTTTAAAAAGCATTGAACCTATTTTTAAAAAATTTAAGGCTGGACTCCAACTCCCCCATTGATGAGTTTGTTCAAAGCTGTTGTAGAAGATGATGTTGCTCTAAGGCAAGATGAAAAAGTTATTCAATGGGAATTACATTTTGGGGAGTATGGAAGAGGGATATCAATGTATAGAACTCCAGAAATTAGCAAACTAGTGCTGCAAGGAATACCAGATACATTACGCCGTGAAATTTGGTTGAACTTCTCAGGTTAGCAGTCTGGTACCTGTCATTATTATGATGATTTCTTAAGTCTAATGATTCTTTCCCTTAATGACAGGTGCAATTAATGAACAGCAAACGAATCCAGGCCTATATCGAAGTCTTGTGGATAAAGCAGTTGGAAAACAATGTGTTGCAAATGATGAAATTGAAAGGGATTTACATAGATCACTCCCTGAACATAAGGCATTTCAGTCTGAAGTGGGAATCAATGCCTTGCGACGTGTACTCTCTGCCTATGCATACAGAAATCCCCAGATCGGTAAATGTTGGCTTCAACTACCGTATATTGCCTAAATTTGAAGTTAAGAAATCAATTTTAAGTAGCTTCTCCATGTTTCCTCTTTTGCCTTAGGTTATTGTCAAGCAATGAACATAGTTGGATCTGTTCTCCTGATTTATTGTAAGGAGGAAGAAGCTTTTTGGCTTCTGGCAACAATTTGTGAAAACCTTCTACCTGATTACTATAACAAAAAAGTGGTAGGGGCTCTTATGGATCAAGGAGTGCTAGATGATTTGACTGGACAGTATCTACCTCATCTGCATTCTCGTATCCAACAGCTAGGAATGATTAAAATGATTTCCTTGTCTTGGTTTCTTACCATTTTCATGAGGTATGATATTAGACTGCATCAAATTCAATAGAAATGAAAAGTCTCAAACTTACTATGTCTTTTGGTTTTAATTCTATTTCCAATAGTGTCATGCCATATGAGAGTGCTGTAAATATTATGGATTGCTTCTTCTATGATGGGGCAAAAGTGATATTTCAGGTGAGCTTTACTTAGTTTCTAAATTACCTAAATTCTTTTGTACTCGTAGTACATGTTATCTTACTTTTTTGTGGTTTGGGTTTAGGTTGCACTTGCCATACTCTCAGCTAATCAGGAAAAAATTCTAAACTGTCGAGATGATGGAGAAGCTACGCAACTGCTTGCTGATTACTTAGAGGGCATTTACAATGAGGAAGGGCAAGGTGCATTGCGGAATAAAAATTGGGATCAAAGCAAGAAGGTAAGTGAAGTCCACCATACCGTGTGTCAGGGCTACAACACAACAGTTTTGTGGGTTTGCATACCCTACCCTAGGGGCCATGGCGACTCACGGGTGGAGCGAGTAGGCAAACCTGCATACTTCTGTGTCGTGCCCCGACACATTACTTCATTAAGTTTAAGAGCTGTGGTGTTGGCGTTCGGTAGACCAGTGACCGCGCACACGCTAAAATCCATGCAAAGATAACTAATTACTAACTTTGAGTCTTGTGGTTACTATGGCAGAGCATCTCAATCCAACAACTTTTACGAGAAGCCTACTCCAATTTTGATGATCTTACTGCATCAACCATGGAAAAATTAAGATTCAAGCATAGAGTACGAGTTGTACAACAGCTGGAGGAGGGGGAAGAAAAGAATGTTGTACGAAGTGTTGTAGGAGATAACTTTTTTTCCACTCCAGAACTTCATGTATGATTTTTTGAATTTACTATTTTTTTTAACAATTTCTTTTGTGTCATTGTTTTTTTTTTAAAAAAAGAATTGCTGTTCAGTTTTTCACAAGTTATGTTTGGGCAGGATTTATTGAGTTTGGTTCGTGATGAGTTGCTGAGTCAGCCTATCATTGGAGAACGATATGATCCAGCACTGCTCCCTTACGAAAACTTCCAAATTGACTTCGACCTTTTCAAAATTATCTTTATGGGAATATCTCCGTGGGGAAAAGGAGTACAATCTGAATCTCTTTCTGCCCGTCTCTTCCAGGTAACTTAATTTAGTTTTAATGTGGCTCAACTCTTTATCTAAGTCTTAAAAGTTTTATTATTTTTATTTTACCACTTCTAGCTATTTGATGCAAACTGTGATTCATATTTGAATTTCCGAGAGGTGACACAGGCCCTAGGTCTTACATGCACAGCTGATGTATCTCACAGATTAATTTTGCTGTATGTATTACATTTGCCTCCTCTGCTGTCAGCAAACGATATTCAATCTCCTGTTTCTGGTAACTAAAGATTTGCATACATATCCTAACTGAAGTATTTTACATCATAATAGTTTCATCAGAAGCAATATAGTGTGAAAATATTTCTCAGGTCCTTCTGGCGCAGAGGTAGCATCTGAGGCAACAGACTTTTTCCATAAAATTGAGGAAAGTGTTGAATGTTTGGAACAAGCTATGTCCCTTCTCAATGAAACTCATTTAAGCACTTCAGACCATACAATGCATCGATCAACATCAATATCAAGTGCAACCTCTTTTCACAGTAAATATTGAACAACAGTATAAAATTTTAGTCCCCATCACATAATAAAAGGTATTGTTTAAGTACATTCTGAAATTATTAAAATCAACTATGATTATTTTCTGTAGGCGACAAACCTTGGGAAGTCCGTGGTATTGGTAGTTTAAGACTACTAATGGAGGAAAAAGAGACTCGAATTAAAAGCTTCCCAAAAATGTCTCAACCTCATTTCATTGCTCTTTGGAAAACACTGTATGATATTTTCCAAACAGAGCCTGAAGATCAAGAAACATATCATTCCATCGCCACAATAGGTCTGAGCATTAACAAGTGTTACCCTATATAGAGGGTCTTTCCTGCATCCTTCTGCAATATGCAAATTTTTAAACTGTTCATGTCTTTTGTAGGCACTCTCCTTTTACAATTAGGTGATGTGGGCAAAAGATTTCAAGCTGATCGTGATGAATCTTGTGATAGCTTAGTTTCAGCAACTCTACCCACACAAGGTGCTGAGAGCCAGATATTGAAGGTGAGAAGTAGCTCTACTGGGACTGGTTTGTTTTTCCTGATAATTAACGCATGTTTACATTTTTTTCTCTGTCTGCAGGCTGCTGATCCTAATGGAAATGAAAACGCAGAACCAAAGCAAGTGAAACCCAGTATCTCTGGCGATCCTCAGTGGGTCATAACTTTGGAGCAATTTTTAGCATCTGCGCTTACAGGAAACCCAATCACAAATTATTTTAGCAAGCGAATCAATGTTACAGAGGAAATCAGCAAAATAAGGAAGCGTAGGTTTGAGAGGACACAAAGCCTCACTGAAACACCACAACCCCCCTCACCCTCTGCATAATTTGTAAATTAAATAGTATGTATATACCTAGGTATTAAAAAATTACTGCTTATGCATTGAGTATTCTCAAGGTGTGTTATATGAGTGCCTGCAACTCATTCTTTATTTTTGAAGTGTGTGAAATATGTGTACCAGTTCTATGTAATACATCACATGATTGATTTATTGAACATACGCACAATTTGAACTAAACTGTGGATAAAAGTTTGGTTCTTTGTTGGATATGCACCATTTTCAACACACATGAGCATTGCTGTGATATGTTATGTGCCTTTGATTTTTCATACAGTTTGTGGCAATTGTGTATGTGATACCTATTGTATTTTAATGTTTTACATGCATTGGTTGCAAATATCTATTTTATCAGTTTGATCAATATTGGTTCTAGACTTGAATATTGTTTGATTCTGAATTAGCTTTACAGAGAAGCAGAGTCCACTGCTATGAAAACCTGTGCCATCATTGTTTTTATTCTTCCTATTAATTTAGTATTTAAGAGATGTCGACCCCGTTCCTGAGCAGTTTCACTCAAGTACAGGACGACTATATATTTCAGCCTTGCGATAAGTATTTTAATTTATTCCCTGTCGAGTATGTGTATATCAATATGACCTCTCTAAGAATGATCACATTCTGTCTCTCAGGCTTTAGGAATTAACCGTCCATGTCCTAGCCCTATTGACAGATTTAGAAGAGTTGTTGAGCAATTATGTCTTCCAGAGCTCTTTAAATTCTCGCAACAATGCATTTCTAAATTATGTAGTTGTAAGGCTTTGTACATTCCATTAGTCCATGTGGAAGCAGGGACCCGTAACGAAAAGATTTGTTATTTTAGTTTGTTGACAATATCTCATAAACGGATTGACATATCGTCCATCGCAGGTGCTTGTTGAATAGTTGAAATTGTGTTCGAATTTCGTTACGAAATTACCCAACAAAATTGGGAGGCCCCTTCTGCCCTTAAATGGATTTCGGTACAAAAGTAAAGAAACTAAACTAATTTTGTAACAAAATTCATTTTTGACCAGAAGGAGCCATCAGACTGTGTTGGGTCATTTTGTGACGAAATTCGAGCACTATCTGAGCTTTCCAACTGGCATTTAAGTATTGCTTTATCTCAAACAGTTTACATGATATTGCCGAAAAACTGAAATAACGAATCTTTTGTTACGGGTCCCTGTATGGAAGTACACATAAATCTCAACTAGTATAAGCTGAATGTTACATTGTTACATTTGTAATTTGTACGGAAAAATATTCACGGTTCCTTCCATTACAATATACAATTATGAACAGTATTGTTATTCTCTAATAATTACTGAATTTTGTCAATTTTAGTATGACTGCAGGGGGCAATTAAAAGTGATTGGTACAAAATTTTGTATTTCTGTAAGGCTATTGCCTCTAAAGTTGTTTAATTTCTTCTCTGCCTTTCTTACATCTCATTTGTAACACACAATATATAAATACAATTGAACTCTCAGGAAAGAAACTGTACATTTGTAAGATTACTCAGCCTGTCTAATTAGTCTTTCTTTAACTGTGTCCTATTTACATGATGCTTTACAAGGTAACCAGGTAGGCATGATGATGTGCAAATACTGTCTCACACTCCAGGGAAGTCTACAAACAAAACAAAAACAAAAGCAAGTTGGCCGACAAGTGGATCACCCTCGACTGAAAGCTTTTGCTGGGTTTAGACTGGCATTGATTGTCATTTGTTTGATGCATTCTAGTTGAAAATCAGCCACAATCAGAGGCCTCGAAAAGCCACTAAAATGTATCCAACAAATGACATTCGATGCCAGTCTAAACCTTGCATTTGTTGGGAATATTATAAGATTAGGAAAAAATTGAAAGGTAAAGAGCCTTCCTACATAAGAAAACTACACGTTCATTGGTGTAAAAAGTAAAAAATGGCGAAACAGCAAACTGGTTCAGAACCAGAGATGACATGCTCACAGCCAGTGCGGCCCAGAGCATCTAATAAGGGCATCACATCACACAACTGTTATTGCTCAAACCCAGGACAGTGAACATTTTGAACTATAATTAATGACCACTGTATCTTAGCAAAGTTCTACCCCTGACATGCTTAAGAGTTGACACCTTATGATATCCAGGTCAGAAATAACCCAAGGTTCATAGCATGGTCAGGCAATAGTTCTATGTACAGAAATTGAAGATGACAGAATAGGAAGATGCAGACATAAAAAAAAGAAAGAACATAACAAACAATTACAAATGTAACTATTATTTAACCAACACAAACTGAAGTGGAGGGCAGGTGAAGGCTATCGCTCGGTCTCTCCCTTAAGGTTTGATTGGTTCAATTTCAGAAGCGGAAAAGGGCAAACAGAGAGGGGAGGAGGAGGAAATTGGGGCAAATGAGCAAACCACTTAGCAACTGCTTCTCTTTTTGAGACCAGAACACACCTTTCCACCTTACCCTGTGAAGAATCTTTTAACATCTGCATCAAAACTCAAGAGAGTTGACACAAGAATTTGGTTCTATATAAAATAAGTTTAATTTTGACATAATATCTTGTATACCATATGTCTAAATGTGGATGAAAGATTCTAAAAGCAGGGAAGATAGAAAGATTCGTTGCAAAGAGACTGCACATTTTGAAACCAAGAATGATTTTGCAAAGAATGTTTCACATTCAAGCAACTTAAGGCTACTGTTAAGTGGAAAGTGCTCAAAAGAGACAAAACAAATTTTCAAAGCTCTAGAAATTGACAAGAAAAAGAAATAGAACTGGGCACATATGATCAAATTTTTAGCTGAGGTTTAGCATATAAGGAAGACAGCATTTTCACTTTCCAGTTGCCAGTAGCCAAGTATTTCACATTTCAAAATCTACTTTGTCACACAGCCAGTAGAGATTAAAACATACACTTAGGAGGAGAGACTGAGCGCTGAGCGGTATGAGCATGGCATACCCAGAGATTTTAACAGTATTAACATAACAAAGGTGCTTGCTTTAATGATGGCTTATGAAAATAATACTAAAAGTAACAACAGTACGTTCGAACACAGCTTGTCTCATACAAATATCTGTTACAGTGATAATTGCTATTAAAATATTCCCTTCCCAAACCCAAGTAACACAAATAGTTAACATTGGTACGTATGAAATTTGTAAGAAATTTGTAAGAAATTGTTTCAATGCTACAAAAACCATTTTGCAAAGTTGAAAATTGGTTAAGAATTTCTATGATCACAAAAATTTACCACACGAGAAATCTTTGCATGACTAAGTCCGAACAAAAATTGCCTTCCATACCAACTTGTATATTCCAGCAATCTGATTCCCGACACTTGTTTAAGAATTAGTCCACATAGACTTGATAAAGTGCAGATAGAGAGAGCTGCCTTTCACAACAAAACTAAAACTAAGTGTAATAAGAATTCCAAAACAAAATACTTACAATGGTTCAAAAAATACTCTAAAAGCTGCTAGCAGGTCATATTAAACATCATCAAATTTGAACCAAGTCTCCAGTCTTCAATTAAGAGGATAATCTGAGTTATTAAGGAATCATTGTCAGGTGTCAGTCAATGCTCAGTGCCAAATTTGAAAAATCTACCAATTGACAGTATGACATCTATTATTAAAATATCTATATTAGTCTACAGACATGTAATTCTGTTTCACAGGAATGTTTAAATACCATCCAAATGTGTCATAGTATATATCATTATTAGCAAAACCTGTGAAGTGACAGAAAATAACACTGAGAGAAAAGTGGACAGATCACAGTGTTACAAAATTCCCTACACTGTGGGACAGAATGCCATCACCAGCAAATATCTGTTCCAGACAGATTATAAATAATAAATAAATAAGAACAAGATAGATATAAAATAATCTACTCCACCAAGGAAAGCAAGTTAAATAGAAGGTTACTAAATTCAACCCTAGAGATTCTAATAAATATTTTCTGCACATGAGCTTCTCTCATGAGCTACTCCACAAATTTTGATCATCACATCTCTAAACAACTAATATAACACATTAATATAACAACAAAAATTTACAGAGTTGGCTTTGGTTCCTTTTCAAAGAGATGACACTCCATGTGAGGATTGATAAAATTGCTAAAAAGGGTAATGCAATGACATCTGGATTTTAGCACTTACAAGTATAAAACTTCATTGCACCCTTAATAAAAATTATTGCTATACACAAAAAATACAAAGAAAATAAACTCTCAAGCAAGTCTTCATTTGGATACCAACATAAGTTTAAATATATATAACAACATATATAAAGGGAATGATGTCCATGAAGATAGTAGTTACAGGGAAGCATGTTTATGTACAAGTCAAAGTTTTGTTGGTAAAAATAAGGGGACCTCCAGATTAACTGTAACTTGGTTTAACAGTTCAACCCAAAGTTTTTAAAAAATCACTGGTAAAACACTGCCTAAAAATATTGCACAAACATTTCAAATTACACCACCTTGTTTCCCATGATCAGCCCCTCTAACCTTGAAGAAACCCTTTTCAGTCTTGCATTCACGGATTGTCACTGTAGAAAGGTTCACTGTTACATCAGTAATGAAAACCTGATCAGCCACAGGGTTACGAGACAACCAATATTCTGGGCTATTCACCACAACCTGACTAACAAGATGAGGTGGATGAGACTTTTCATCTTCATCTGAGAGATTGTTGTTATTATTGTTGTTCTTGCTAATGTTGTTGTTATTCATGCCATTGAGAAGAGGTGGGGAAATTTCTTCTGATCTTGGCTGGTTGGGAGCAATAGTACAAGTGAGCTGGACTGTATTGTTTTGACTCACATTACTTTCTGGCACAGAGTCAGCAGGGTGAGGGGAAGGGCGGGGAGAGGGACAAGGTTCTTTTGCCTGAAATTCAGAAAAAAAATAATTTTAGCTTCAACTTTGTTTACAGAAATTATCTGAAAACTAAAGTATCAACTTACAGGAATGTTGTTAGTAGGTGGTGGCACTTGTGGAGGAGCTGGGCTCTTGTTAATCGACGTTGAAGGAGGCAATCTAATTTGAGGGCTCACTGTAGGTCTAGTTGTTGCAACTCCTGAAGTGGTAGAGCCTTCGGTTGATGATTGCCTTTGAGTACTAGACTTTGACTGCAACCAATAAATTGATACTTAGCACACCAGATATCACACATCATCATATTGGTGTGTGGCTTCTCTACTTACAGATGGAGTGGATGCTGTCTTGGATATTTCAGTGACAGGTGTAGGTGGCCTTTGCAACTTTGGCTGTTTGACAGGGGGAGGACTTGGGGCAGAGGTAGGACTACTGGTTGTGATTGTCACACCAATCTTTCCAGATTCTTTTGAGAGAACTTCTGCCTTTCGTTTGGTGCCTTGATCTTTCTCTTTATCCTTTTCTGATTCTTTGTCTTTGTCTTTTTCCTTATCCTTGTTCTTGTCCTTGTCTTTGTCCTTGTCCTTTTCCCTGTCCTTGTCCCTTTCCTTTTCTTTTTCCTTTTCATCTTTTGGTGCTGAGTCTTTCAGTTTACTTACAGTTTCAATAGGAGAGGAAACTGCAGAACTACTTGTATCAGATTTTAAATCTGGCTGTATCTTGACTCTGCTAACAGCTGGTGAGTGGAAAAGATAATATTAGGAACACTCCAGTGATTCTAATTACAACAAATGAGACCTCATCAACCACAAACATAAGGGTGAAATCATTCATTCAATCTTACCTTGTTTAGATTCAGAATGTTCTCTCTTACTGTCATCTTCATCCTTCTTTTCCTCTTTAGGTTTAGCAGATGTTAATGTTGTTGTGGTTGTTGATGACGATGACGATGTAGTTGAAGGCACAGAAGGTGTAGTGTTAGGAATAGATATAGTAGGTATTGATGCAGCTGAATTAGCAGTTGTACGGGGCTTTGGACCACTCTGACTGGCACTAGTGCTTGTACTTGTGCTGGTTGATGACTCCTCATCTTGGCTGTCCTCACCAACCGTATCATCAGCATCATCTCTTGTACTTCTCCTCTCCTTTAATATTAATAAAAAGTAAAATGAGTCAAGACTTGCTATAACTTTTAAATCAAATGGCAGATATAAGTTTTGCCTTACATTCGACTTAGTTTCCTTTTTCTTCGGTCCTCTTTTATTAACATGGGAATCTCCTCTTTTGGTTTCACTAGAAATAAAACAACATGACAAGTTTTCAATGAAATCAAAGTAAAAATAACTTGGATTGGGAAAATTAAGTTATCTGGGAGAAAAGAGAGGTACCTTTCCTCAAAGCTGTCAATCAAGCGACCATCCAGAATGTTTTCCTCGGGTTCCCAGGTATTATGCCTAGATTCATACAATAAACATTTATTAGATGAAATGAACATTTACCTAAAGCTAGCACAGTACTTTAAAAAAAAAATGATGTAACTTACTTTTGACTCCAGCCTTTCCATTTTACCAGATATTCCGCTTTCCCCTGAAAAACAAACACACATTAGAAACTGTAAACAGAAAACAAAAACTAATTTAGGAATATTTTAAAAATCTGTTCAGTACAAAACTAAACACCCAGAAAATTAATTGAAACATAGAAACGTCCAAACTGGCAAAACAGAAGTGGTTATAATTGTTGTAATTTATGATTATACAGTTGCACTGATATGGGAGTAGTTATATATCAAGGTTAGAATTTTTTCAAGGAAAATTAACTCATAAAAGGGAGCATATATGGTAAATGAGTAATTGAGATTAAACATCATTTAAAACTGATATAAGTTAATTGTCAAACTAATGACATAAGTTTGGACGGTCTTCAGACATTAAGAGAAGTAGATGTGTAAAACAAAATAACAAAAGCAAATTAAAAAATTACTTATTAAAAAAAATAAGTACATACAATAGTTTTAAACAACATAAAAAAATCCGTTACTAGAAAAGAAAAAGAGAGAGACAAGTGCTACCACATAACCTAAAAAATTGTATTTTAGCGGTTTATTTTCGTCCGTTCGGCTTGCCTGTGTGGCAGCCTAGCCAGTGTTTAAGAACACATCAGATTACAGGTTCGATTCTAACACTCGCGTCCAGGACGTGTTGGCAGATTTATAAAGAAAACAGACGGGCAAAGTAGGCTGCTGTTGAGCCTCTAGAGTCGCAACCGAAAACATACCCGTCTGATCCTCTTTTTCATAATCCTCTCCGCGGCGTACACCTGGTCTCCCAGCGGTAGGTCCATCTTGACGCCGAATTTTCACTATTCCGACGAGACACACGCACTAGAGCACTCCACGCGACGGCGTTTCTTTTCAGTCCATCACCGCGACTTCATCCGTCGTCGGTCGGGTCGGGTCCCTTGACAGGCGACTCGACTCTTCTCCTTCGCTCAGCCGTGGCGCTGGCGGCGGCGGCGGCGACGGCGGCGGCGGCTGCGGCGGCAGAGCGACGGCGGCGGCGACCGCCGCGGCCAGGATCAGTCGCAAATAAACAACAATGAGAAGACGGCGGCGGCGGGATCCTCGGGCTCAGGGTCACTGGAACTCCCGCAGGACCCAATCATCACAGACGCACACGGGGGCACACACACACGGCGCGGGGCTCCGCAGCGGCACGGGCAGCGTCGGGAGGGGCTGGCGGGGCGGGCACAAGGGCACGCTACCTCTGCGCTACTACGCGAGCGCGAGCCTGCGAGCCTCACGCGAGGCGGTGGCGGCGGCGGCGGGCCAAACGTAAACAACTTTCTCGACGAGCGGCGCGTCGTGGTCGCGGTCCCGTCGCGCGGAGCTGCGCGCGATCACACTTGCTTCCATGTCCAGAGGTTGGCAGCGACTGCCGACTGACTTGTAGTAACGCTGGAACTCTGGAGCCTTTTGCTGGAGCGGAGCGGGGGGGAAGAACGAGCGGCGCTGGAGAGCTGGAGATGGAGAACGACGAGGACCTTTCGGGAGGCGTCGCGAACTTTCTACGACCCCAGGTCTTCCCTTATCTTCCTCACCCCGTAAGGGGTTGCATGGGGCGGCGACGGCGGGGGCGTTCGCGGCGGGGCGTCCCCTGGAGTTCCCTCGTGGAGTTCCCTCGTGGAGTTCCCTGTCAGAACAGCGGCGGCCGGAGAAGCCGGATAGCGACCAAACTCATTGACATTTTCACCAGGCGA